TTCATCTTTCCCCTTTGTCTCTCTCATTCTTATGACTCAGTCACTGATGCAGGAGTGACAAAACACACATACCATGTCCACAGTGATGTTGGTTTAAATAATTTTGCTAATAGAGAAACGGATTCAGAAGAGCCTAGTCACCAAGGAGTAAATTATTAGTCCGTAATTAATTATTAGTCAGCAACTTCATTTTTTATTACTTGTTGCTATTAGTTCTTACATTGGCATGATGATCCCTGCATCTGCAACAGGGTTAAGAGCATTAGAAAAGATAAAACTACTTCACAAAAATTTTAGGTTTATAAATTGACTCATTGATGACTTAGAGGTTTGTGAAGCCCTCTCTGTATACATGCAAAATTGACCAAAGAAAACTACAGGGGACAGTTTTTTTTGTGTTTATTTTCTGAATATGTTTATATATATATATTTTTTTTAACATTTGCATGGAAAGGTGTGTAATTCATGTTGTTAGATTTATTCCTTGGCCTTTTCAAGTGTTTATTGGTGAAAGATGCTCATCTTCATGTACGATTATTTCCTGGTTTCTATAATGATCTGAAAAATTCCCTTGGTGTTATAAATAAAGTAACACCTTATGTAAACACAGGTGCAGAGGTTGAAAAAGAGTATGCAGATTGAGCATATATGTTTTTCTCCATGAATGTGTGTGTGTGTGTGTGTGTGTGTGTGTCAAGATAATTTTGATGTCCTGCTTTTGTTTTCTTCATTTCTCTGCTTGCTTACATTATTTTATTCTGAAGGCTTTTCTCTCCCTGCAGGTGTTACAGTACCAGCCAGTGAAATACGAAGTGTTGCCCCTCTCACCCCTGTCTAAACATCGACTAAGTATGTGATAGTATAAAAGGAGAATCCGGTGGTAGTAGTGTTAGTAGTAATAGCAGTAGTAGTAGTATCATCATTATTATTGTTTTGTCTCCTTGAGGAATATGCAATGTATTTCGTCCAAAGATGTATTACTGTTGCATCTTGGGAGGAAAAGTTTCATACCTGGCCTAAAGACTTGATAATCTTCTGTTTCTTGTGAAATCTTAAAAGAATAAGTCCAATCTATTCCTTATTGTTAATAGAATTTCCCTCTTGATTTTGAAAGCCTAAAAAAAAAATTATATAGCCCAAAAAATAATTATAGGATTTTTTATAGTAGCACTATAGTATTCCACATTGTTTCAGTTTTACAAAACATGCAAACAAATGCAATTTAAGTATTTCAGTAAATATTCATAAGAGGTGTAAAGTAAAGATAATACATTTTTTTAGGTGATCTTTGAGTCAAATCTGTCTTGCTAATGAATCATTGAAAGTAGATACCATTGTAATATTGTTATGTAGGTAAAAGAGCTGCCAATGTAATCTAAATATACAGTCAATATCATTAACCTCTTTGATATTGTGGTGCCCATGTCAGAATATGATGGTAAGCCAGAGTTTTCCCATTTCTAAATGCGTCACTGCCCTTGGAAATAAAGCAGCTGAAATGCTTATGGCTTTGTCAGCTTGTAGACTTAAATGTAAATATTTCTTTGGCTCTGATAACTGTCTTCTATGTTTTGCATAATTTTGATTGAAGATAATTTATAGTACATGTATCATAAATGGGTTAAACATATTCAGAGGATTAAACTCGCCACAGCTTCAACCACACTAGGCACTTGGTTTTAGTTATAGTTTTGATGGATCAGTGGTATTGGGAAGTGGGTATTTTAGTTAGATTGTTTTCCAGAAGAAAGTGCAAGTTACATAGCAGTTGAGTAATTATTATTATTGTTCCCTCACCCCTCCTCTTAGGTTTGGTGAAGCGCAAAGTGCTAGTATTGGACCTGGACGAGACCCTGATTCACTCACACCACGATGGAGTTATTAGGCAGATGGTCAAGCCAGGAACGCCCCCAGACTTTGTGCTCAAGGTGACCATTGATCGGCACCCTGTACGCTTCTTTGTGCACAAAAGGCCCCACGTCGACTTCTTCCTGGACATCGTAAGTGCTACTTGGGGAGTTTATTAGGGTCTTCAAGAAGGGTTAACTGCCCTGTCATAAGGTACTGTTTCATGACAGAATCACCACTCATCAGATGTTTGGCATTGGCTGTTCTCAATAATTTATCTCTCATTACTTTCTGCAATGTATACTGTTACTGAACTGGTGGTTCATTAGAACTTATTGAAAGTGATACTTTAGAGAGTGGGAGGGAGTGAAGGACAAAAAAAGATAAGGATAGACTGGTATTTGACTTCAGCAAAGAGTAGGTTGTTATTAGAAACTCAATATCCTTTTTTCTAAAGTTCTGGGGAAAGTGACATTTTGTAGTTCTTTTTATTTGTAATTTTTTAGTTGCTAAAGAGCAGGATTTTTTTGTACAGATTGTTAGGAGAAACGTTTGTATATTCTCATCTCTCCCCTAACACCAACTGTACTTCTTGCAGGTGTCACAGTGGTACGACCTTGTGGTATTCACAGCCAGTATGGAGATATATGGAGCAGCTGTAGCAGACAAATTGGACGGAGGTCGAGGGATTTTACGCCGTAGATACTATAGGCAGCACTGCACACTCGATTACGGTAGCTACACCAAGGACCTAGCTGCCATATGTCCAGATCTGGCCTCTATATTCATTCTGGACAATTCCCCCGGTGCATATAGGCAATATCCAGGTGGGTGCTCTGGGTGTTATCTCTTTTGAAGTACTTAATTATCTTTTATGTATGAAGCTAAAATTCTGAAAGATTTTGATGCCACCCCATATATATTGACATCTTTCATTTGACTGAAGATTTACAAATGTTTAAAACTGTGTTTCCTAAACTGGAAACATGGTCATATAACCCTTTCATGACCTTATAATCCAAACTAACACCTTTTCTCCTCCCCATAGACAATGCAGTGCCAATCAAGTCATGGTTCAGTGATCCACTGGACACCTCCCTACTCAACTTATTGCCCGTGCTAGATGCACTGCGGTTTACAGCTGATGTACGTTCGGTCTTATCCCGAAACCTACATCTCCACCGTTTATGGTAGCACTCAGGTCAGTATTATTGTATTGTACTGTAAATTGCAATACATGTTTACTATGAAGGGGATATTGAGGAATAGTTTGCAATGTATCTACTATATATATGTATCTCTATATATGTGTATATATCAGTATCTATATTTATCCATATATCTATCTTTCTGTCTATCAATATCTGTTTTTCTAGTTATCTACATATATCTGTATATATGATATGAATTTTTTAAATAACCATGTGCACTTGTCTCTCCTTTCAGGGTTGTAGTTTGTAGCGTGTGGCTGTGGCTTTTCAAGTTAACTATTGGCCACTGTTATTGGTCTCAGGGGTGCATGGGGGCTAGGCCTGTGCCGCGTCCTGCTGCACCATGTGTTGTGGACGCTGCCACCGGAGAACTCTCATGCTCCCCTCCTCTCCCCCTTCCCCCCCAACCCCAACCCCCTTCCCTGGATGTGAGGGTTTAGAGTGAATGTTGAAAGTGTTGACGCCACCTTTTGTTGTAAATGACTTGTTTCTTTTCTTTTTCTTTTTTCTTTTTTCTTTTTATTTTCTTTTATTTTCTTTTTTGTGGTATAGATGGCGACACGTTCCAGTCGCATTTGGGCTGGGCGCTTAGGCCTGTACACAACTTTTTTCTGACAATGGACAAATTTTACCTTTATAGTGTGTGCAAAACATTTTTATATGGAGTAATGTTTAAAAGAAATAAAAAAAAAAATCTTAGAAGATATATGTACTTTATGTTTAAAAAATGAAAAAAAAATCCAAAAAAATGTGAGAGAATAAAATAAAAAGAATTAAAAAAATAAAAACAAGAGAGAGAGAATGAGAACTAGAAGTTTTACTGTGTTTAGTGTCCAGCCTTTAGCACAACTAGGCCACGTGAGTCTGTAAAGTGGGCTCAGAGCTCTGCTAGAATATCAACCCCTTGAGGGCACAGAAACTATTCCCTGTGCCATATAAAGGGTCTTTTTGGCCTCGATGTGTCAAAATGGAGACTACCCACTAACACACGAAGGTACAAAGGTTATAAACATTGGTTGTAAGAGTGTACGTTTGTGCGTGTGTGCCTGTATTGGTGTCGTCCATCGTTGAATGCACAAGGTGCAGGCTCTTTTAAAAAAAGTATATATCCTTTAGTCAGGTCTATAAATGTGGAAGTGGAGAGGGACTTGGGTGCCGGGACTGAGTTGACAGATAGACCATGTCGGGTGGTGGGCAGTGGTAGGGGGAGGGAGCCCAGTGGAAGGCGGCACCATTCTTGTGAGGAGACTCAGGTTGTGTGGAAGGAAGATATAGAGTTGCTTTTTACAGGATACTATAGAAAGGACAAGAGAAAATCAGTGGTAAATACTGTTGCCAGTTGCTTCTTGCAGAAAGTTTAGAGACCAGGTTCCTAAAGATCAAAGCTGAATTTCCACATGCAACAATAGGATAGGGCACCAGTGAGGTTGCCGCATGCTGACTTGTGGGATCAGCGACTCTGATGCAGAAGTAGGTCAATTTCCAGGTGGGCAAACTTCTCTCCCTGTGCTCCATCTAAATCAGTGATCATGCAGAACTGAAGCCATTTTTTTTCAATTGTTATTTTGTATTCAATTTAATATCTGTGAGATGCACAAACTACTTGCATCACACAGGGGGGGGTGAGGGGTAAGGTGTGCCGTCTCCTCGCATTGTAATGGCTGACTCGGTCAAAAGAGGCTATGTACCTAAAAATGTGATATGGTTTAACATCATCACTTTCCTTGACTTAATTCCCAGAATAGTTTGGGAGGTACTTAGATGACTAACAGTGAAGTTGCACGTTTGGAGTGTGAGATAGTTTTGTAGCTAAAAAGTTGATTTAATTGTTGCTATGTTAAGTATGAATTAGACACTCATTAAAAGCCATTTTCATCTTTATGCATCAAGCTTTAATGGAACAAGCTGTTGATTTTTGTTGATAAAAGTGAAGAAAGATAA